CTATGTACTGCAGAGCCACTACACCTCAGCGGCCGCCGTTCTCTCTTTAATACTTTTATGTTAATCTCAGTGAATAAAAATGTTACGTTTTTACAAGCTTTTATTTAACTTCCCTTACATATGTATATCTCCTTGAATTTTATTGTCAATTCTAACCGATGAGCTAGAGACTTGGGACTTTAAACTTAGCTCAAACCCCGATGACAATGTAATATGAAGGACGAATTAATCCACTAGGTGGCACAGGTCTAGAGATGTTCAAAAACCCGTATTTATGGTCCGATATGGTTAATATTTGGAATGCATATATATTACTTTCATGGAAGGCTAGGCACCTTTGTTTTATTTTATTTGTAATAACTTATTAGGGCGTATTCATAGTCAAAATTAAATTCATACCTAAAGCTACTTGCGGCTTTTTGACGTAATATTTAATGGGTTATCTGTCAAAAGCGCTACATTTAACTTCAAGTACCAACTTAATTTTGCCTTTAAACCTCCTATTTTTTCAAAACAATCGATGTCACATCGATGTTTTCTTTTAATACATCGAAACCGTCGATGGTAGCAAACATCGATGTTTCTCCACCTCTAGTACAATTATGTTAAAATTATAGTACACATATTGTTGGAATATGTTCAATTACGAATTACCAATTATTTCTAATGCGTCGTCATCATAAATAGCTTCATTGCCCGCAATTTGCTCAGGCTGGCAAATGCTTAGTATTTTCCCGTCTATTGCTGTGCTGGGTATAGAAGCTCTTGTTCCACCGCCGGTTTTATAAATATCACGCCTTTCTGCAGCTAATCTCTTTTTTGAGTCCTTCTTCACATTCTCGTACTTCATCTTCAGCACCTTTGAGCTCTTATACACTTGACCAAACTTTGAGTTCAACTCGATCTCTATTTCCTTCCACACTTTCAATTTTTCTTCTGCGCTGACTCGATCAGTTTTTTTGCACTCCAGCACATTTTTATTTAGTTCTACTAATTCTAATAAAAAGCTCACTTTACTCGTTGAAAATGTATTACTTCTCACAGACATTTTTATTTATTTGTTCACAGCGTTTAATTTTTATGGAAATTTATCAAGCAATGGCGTCGAATTGTAAACATACAACAGCTGTTGTCGTATCTAGATAAAGAAAAAAACAGTGTTGCCCCAAAAAATGGCCAATGTTTACAGCGGCCTTAAACTCTCACTGAAAAACAGCTCTCCAGTTTAAACTCAGTTTAAATTTAAACTGAGTTTAACTAAACTTAGTTTAAACTGAGTTTAAACCATGCCTGAAGAACTGGCCCTAAGGATAAGATTCCTAGATACGAGAAATCTGACGTAATATACAAAATCTCATATAATGGCGACGGGTCCCACTTATGCGACAAAAGTATATGTGGGGACAACAAAAACTAAACTCAAAACAAGGATTTCCGCACACAAATCAAATATAAAGTTAAGGAACAGCTCAACTGACAATAATTCGGCCTTGTCAGCACACTGTAGGGATACGGGACACTATCCCGATTTCGATAATGTTGCCATTCTACAAGAAGAAAAGAACTATAATAAACGCTATATTTAGGAAATGTTACACATTACGAACACCCCTAATGAGAGAAGGATCAACTTTAAAACGGACACAGACAATTATGCAAATGTGTATCGCAATTTGGTGTTAAATCGGCAACAACAATCCTCAACGTAGGTGTTCCGTTCCGCCTTCCATAATCAACATTCGTTCCGTTTCCCCAACATACCTTCATAGAACAACAATAAAAAGCTGTGCTTTTACATGTACATTAAAGTGGTCCAAAAATGTATGTAAAAAAAATAAGGTCGGATTTTTAATGCCGCCACCCCCTAGGATTGTTATATACCGAAAAAAATATACCCATATTTTTTTTTTTGAAATTAAAAAAAATTAGGTAGTGCTCAAAGCGCTCAATGTTTTCCATGTATTTTATATGGAGAAAAAACCACTTTTCGTAGAAATAGTGTAGAATTCTTGAAAATCATTATTTTTCGATTGGAACTTTACTTATCTTCAGGAGATTCTCAGTAATAATACTCAATTGTTTCTTTAACAATTTTTTCATGGTAACTATATTTTATAGGCCCTCCAAAGCCCTTAGAAAATGCAATGGGGGACCAATAAAAAATCTTTAATCATAAAAAATTGTTAAATAAACAGTTGGATATTAATACTGGAAGTCTCTTGAAGAGAACCACAGTTTTCCGGTCGAAAAATATTGATTTTCAAGAGTTTTATACCATTTCAACGAAAAATTGTTTTTTCTCCATATAAAATACATGGAAAACTTTGAGCGCTTTGAGCACACCCAAAATATTTTTTGATTTCAAAATAAAAAATAGGGGTATATTTTTTTCGATATAGATCAATCCTAGAGTGTGCCGGCATTAAAACTCCGACTTTATTTTTTTTTGGACCACTCTAATGTACATATACATATTGTCTTCCTGCTCAATGTAACGAGTATTGTTCTTTGTATGTTTTTTGTTTGCAATTACGGTATTTGTAATTGTTTACTTCTTATGTTTATATTTATTTGCCTAAAACTTCACTTGATTAACTTTTATTTCTGTACGCCTAATTAGTCCACCAGGCACAATCAAGAGTGTAAGTTGTGTTTAATGTTTGTTAGTAATAATAAGTTATCGTGTTTGTATATTTACAGTCCTGAAGATGACCTCAGATTGAGGTCGAAATATCGACAATTAAAATATCAATAGAACGAAGTTTTGCATTTTATTTAATTGCTGGGCCTCGAGCTTGTTAAAATATGTTTCATAATTTAAAATTCAAAGGCCAACAACAAAAACAAATATTTAAAGGTAAAACCAGGGATGGAATTTCAAAATTCAAAATGTGCCTAATGGTCTTTAAAAATTGTGCCGAAAAGAAGATGAAAGTGCTACAAAATTAAAATTTCTTTCTTTTAACGCCTTTTAAGAAATAGTATTTTTAAAATACACTTAGACATATATACATAAATTCATAGCAAAATTACACAGTATTCTAATTAGGAAGGGGAATACATCGAAATATAGCTATTCTGACGTGTTTACACATATATCTACCTATATGCGAAATAATGGCAGTGAGACATTTTGACCAGTTTCACCAATTGATTCATTTTTTATTGATTTTATATAGAAGTCTAACTAGGGTTGCCAGATTTTTTATGCGCGAAATCAGTACGTTGGACTTTTTCATGCTAAGAAATCAGTACTTTTCAGTACATTTTTATTCAAAGCAAAATTATGAATCTAAGTAACAGAAAATGCTTTAAAAGGCCAGAGTTCTTCTTTTTAACAATATTTTGGTACATAAATAAATAGTCAGTAGTAGTATTGAATATACCTTTCTCTCTTTGCGCCAAGAAACAAACGTTATACTTAAGATCCTCTCAATTGCATTGTTTGAGTGTGGTATTGAAAAAAAAAACAAAATTAAATACTTTTTCAAACTGTGAAAAAGCACCACTCTTTAAGGACGTCATCTATATTTCTTCATGGCTTAAAGAATTTTTTCAGCTACGCAGAAACTTTGAAAAAGTAAGAATTCGCTAAAAGGAGTATCTAACTCTATGGGCTGGTTTCTCCAACTCAACTTAACTTAGTTAAGCCAATTTTCTTGACTTAGTCAAGAATAAGCTGTGTAAGACGTAGGCTAACTTTTGACTTAAGTCCAAAAAGTGGCTAAACTAAGTTAAGTTGAGTTGGAGAAACCAGCCCTATGTCTTGTATGCAAAACTCTTTTACAATGTCAGAAAATTGAGAAAATAGTTTTCAGTTATAAACAAAAGCCATTCGAATATTCAAATTTGTTATTAAACTGAAAGTTATTTTCGAGATAACTATGACACAAGGTTAACCACTGAGAACATATTTGAAGTTTGCTAACATAACAAAACTGTTTTCGAATTTTCAAACTCAAAAATACATTCTCACGTTCAGTCACAAATAAAAAAAATAAATTTGATTATTTTCATCTATTTGTTTTTTATTTTACTTTTATTTGGCATTTGAGTTGCTCTGAAAATTTCAATTTTATAAAGTAGACAAACTTCAAAAAATAAACGACGAATTGAGCGAGCGGTTTTCCCCAAAATGTATTCAACAAAGTGTGATTGATTTTGAAATTGCCCTCATAAGAAGCAGGCTATAATGTCAAATTGAAATGAATTGTTAACCTATTTAAAAATATTTTTTCTTCAAATTTCAATTTGTTTAAAAAAAATTTACACAAAAATTTTTCAAGCAACAAATTTTCTTAATAAACGTGAAATTGTTAAGAGATAAACCGCCGAGGAGAGCAAGTAAGCACATTTAAAGTTTGGTAATAAGTAAATATGTACGTTCGACTTTTCTTAAATATTTAATGTAAGGAAACCAAGATGAAACGGAGCAAAACTTTTGAACGGTGCGCTGTATGCAATAGAAATCAGGACACGAAAATAGAGCGATGTTTTAAACCACCTAGTTGCGAGTTAAGACGGCAGCGATGTGTGTTGTACTACGTGATTCATCTCGCGTTTGTGAAAACCATTTCAAGGAAAGTGATTTCATTTGTTGTCCGTGCGAGTCAAGCACTTTCAAACGAGCTCATTTAAAACAAACTATTTCGCATAAAAAAAATTTATTTTCAAAATTGTTAGAGTTAAGCTCTCATATTTATAAAATTGGAAATAAATGTAAAATTATACTTCTATTTAAATATAAAAATAAACGCACAAACTTGGGCAATTAAAAACA